GGGGTGTACTCATAGTCGTGCATGCCGTAGTCGTTAGACCATTGACCTAGGGGGGGAGGAAAATATCAAGTGTCCCGGTACATCTCCCGCCGCATAGCGGAACCACACCTACCTCTGCCCGCGCTGTGTTGGCACGGCTCACAGCTATCATTTAAGCTATCATGCACCCCAATCGGACCAGTGGGTGCAGAGAAGCCCCCACCCGCGGGGGTTCAGTGACTCAACGGCCGGTGGAGCACATATGCTATACTGCTCCACCAGGCCAAACTCAATGTAAGGGGTGGTGCTTGTCCTCCTACGGCTTGCACTATGTCGTCACGACTCACAGCTATCATTCAAGCCATCGCACACCCCGATCGGACCAGCAGGTGAAGGCAAATGCCCACCCACGGGGGCTCAGTGGCTCAACGGCCGTTGGAGCAGATATGCTAAAGTGCTCCACCAGGCCAAACTCTAAGTAAAGGGTGCTGTTTGCTCAACGACGACTTTCATTTTGTTGGCACGTCCCACAGCTATCATACAGGCCATCAGGCACGCCAATCGGACCAGTGGATTCAGAGAAACGCCCACCCACGGGGGCAAGGCGGCTCGAGGGCCGGTGGAGCTTAACTGCTCCACCAGGCCAAACTCAATCTGGATGATATCGTTTGTCCTACGAAGACTTGCATTGTCATACAAGCTATCGGTCACCCCGATTGGACCAGTGGGTGATGAGAAACGCCCACCCACGGGAACTCTTCGCTCAAAGGTCGGTGGAGCAGAATCTGATAAAGGAATACAGTGAAACGAGCAAGGGAATGCGGTGTATGTGAAAAAGGAACACAGTGATCTTGACCAGGGAGTGTATTCAATGAAGAAATACAGTGAAACGGACCAGGGCATACAGTGTATCTGTCGAGGGAAAACATTAAATCTGCTCAGGGAATATAGTGAAATGTGCAAAGAAAGAATACCGTGTATCGGATAAGGGAATACAGTGATGCTGGCTAGGGCATTCAGTGTAGTTAGTGAAGTAATACGGATAAAAGAGAGGGGGAATACAGTGTGTCTGACGAGGGAATGCAGTTAATTTGCTCAGGGAACACAGTGCGTAGCGTATCAGATCAACAAATAGCTACAGTGTATGTGATCAGGGAATACAGTGTAGACTATCTGTCCAGGAAATACAGCGGAACTACGTTATTCCCTGTAGATAGAGTTTGGCCTGGTGGAGCAGCAGGCCCTTGAGCCACTGAGCCCCCGTGGTGGGCGTTTCTCTGCATCCACACGTCCGATTGGGGTGCCCGATGGCTTGTATGTTTGCTGTGAGCCGTGCCAACGCAATGAAGCCTTCGTAAGACAAACAGCACCCGATAGATAGAGTTTGGCCTGGTGGAGCAAAAAAGCTTCTCTGCTCCACCGGACCGTTAAGCCGTTGAGCCCCCGTGGGTGGGCGTTTCTCTGCACCAATTGGTCCGATCGGGTTGTGTGACGGCTTGAATGAAAGCTGTGAGCTGTGCCAACACGGTACGGGCAGAGGTATGCATGGTTCAGCTATTTGACGGGAGGTACACCGGGACAATTGACATTTACCTCCCCCCTAGATGCTGCGGGACCCCCTCTGTTGACCATATCTCTGCGCGAACATGTAAGATGGGAGTGTCCCATAGCTTGGAAGAACGGTATGGACCGTGCGCACACAAGGAAAAGGGTTTGAGGCCAATGGGAGCTGTTTGGACGGAGGTTCGAGACGATCATTGCTTCCTGACATGCTGCGGAGCTCACCTTTTTCAGCATATCTCTGCAGCCACCGGTCGGATTGAGCTTCCAAATGGCAGAAAGCTGTAGTCCATAGCTACACGATGCAATTGGTTTGAGGTCGATTGCAGCTCTGTGGATGGAGATCTGGCTGGCGGAGCAAATAAGAGGTTTCTCCACCGGTGGAGCAAACAGCATTGCCGACGATCGGCGTGACGGCACGAGGCTAAGATCAAAATCCATTTGTCGTCTTGGTTTGTTCTTCCATCTACGTATTGTTGTCGCACCGGTAACTGTCACGTTTTACCTGCCGAGCTCATAGTTTGCCAATGCATATGTTTGTATATCCTGAGAATTGACAGTAAGTAGTGAATCGTTAGTGTGCACTGCCGCCCTCAGCGGTCTGCGGTGTTGAGACTGGGTACTATGTTTGCGGCCTACGCCACTTATTTATCGGGTGAGACTGTTTTGGTGATGTATTAACTTCACGGGAGGTAGACGACCATCCTTCACACGGACGAAAGAGGGAGTGCTCAAAGAGCGGCTCCCACAGCAAGGAGGGGCCCCGTGAATCATCGCGGTGCCCCCTATCAAACGGTTATCTTACCAGTCTGCGTGACACAAAATCATCCAGCACATGTATCCAACAGCAATGTTCGCAGACTCACGAACACCCTCCCTGGTTCTTCACGAAAGTGACTAACCATCAATTGGGCAAGAACGCCCCAGGATACATCAGAAAATACCAACATGGTAACATATGGAGGGGAAACCCGGCGTCCGGGCAAAACCCCTCAAGGAA